CATTCAATAAGATTTAACAAGATTTAAACATGTCGAGATACAAAACTTTGTCATGATTAGAAAAAAAAATGTTTAAGTGCCGAAAACTTTTTCTCTCAAACTATATCCTTTTCATTACTTAATTTTGATTTTAAAAGTCTTCGAGTTGATCTTTAAATAATAAATCATGTTTTCACTGATATCTTGTTTTCATACTGAGTCATTTTCAGGTATTTTCATAAATGACAACATGCGGAATGTTTTAGCTTAAAGGGTCATAAGAAAATCCGAAGAAATATTATAAAGACAAAAATCGGTGTTTTTGATTTATGATATGAAACTTATTTCACTATTGCAGCAGGGTTTTTAATTTATATTTTAACTTGTTCTCGATACGGTCTCGAGTTCAACTGTATATCCTCTGCTTAACATTCAAAATTCAAGAGAGAACGTAAATATAATAGGGTGAGTTAACCATGCATCAGACACATACCTTGCTTCGGACAACTTTAAGCAATAAACTTTCATGGAACCTGAGTCTCCCCGTGTTTTTACTTGTTTCTGTCTTAAAGGTGAAGATTTAAACTTTTTAATGATGCCGGTTTTTATTTCCATGTTGTGATAAAAATACCACAAGAATGGTCTTGAAATTACGTCATATTTTTCATTATCAAAGGGGAGTAACCAGAATTTTACGATTGTGCAATTTTTAGAGTTCTCGCTCTTTTAAATAGACTTCAACGGAACGAGTCGGACCTAGGTAAAATTTGTCAATGATTGATAATTTTACAGAAGTTTTTCAAAGATTTTACTTCAATGTTTGTATAATAATTTTTAGAGTTGTTTTTTACTAGTATGTTTATTTCACCGTACATCGGACACAAATTAACCATGCATCGGACACTTTCCGATGCATGGGTAATCACTTCCATTTTCATATAAAACCCAAATGACAGCTTTTTTACGGAAATAGAAAATAAAGACTAAATTTTAAGTGAAAATACAAGACATCGATATATGACGACTAGAAGTGGACCCAATTTATTTCTTTAAACTAGATGATGATAACCCATGAGACAAAAGCGCGAGTTGCCATATTATTAGCATTATAAAGCCTTTCTAAGGCGATGTGATGCAACTAAAATCTCTTCACATTTGTGGATCGAAATAGTCAATCAAATTTAATTAGAAGGTTAATTTTTAAATGAAAGATAAAAATGTTTCGATATCACTAATTTTAAAGCACCGAGATCAAGGTATAATATTTTTCTGGTTTAAATATCGTATGTCCGATGCATGGTGAATATTGTCCGATCCATGGTGAATTCTGACTTATTTGGAAAAAATAGGTTTTTAATGATATTTTCTCAATAAATAGGGCACGATTGTGTCAAAAATTTTAATTTTAACCACATACTACATGTTAAGTTCCATTTTTATAATATTCGGTCGGTGGCGATATCGCTAGAACTTGTTGAAGTGCGAGGGTGTCCGATGATGGTGAATTCACCCTAGATGTGTTCCACTCTTAAATCATGATCAATTATATATTAGAACTAATGTTAAGTTCCGTTTTAGGTTTCAATTGCCCTGTTTCAAAGTTCTGAAAGACATTCTGCATTGAAATACCCACAACGCGCATTTACATAAAGTTCATAATAAAGTACAGATTTTGAGAAGTAATCAATAAACAAATGTTCCTTTGTATCCCGATGATTAGTATACATTTGTATTTGAAGTTGGCATGGTTTGGATTGAATAGCCTCTCTGCTGATATTAATTGGTGTGCAATGTGATTCATCAATCTTGCCTATCAGATAATCTTAAAGCTCCAAATCAAGGTTTTTACTTACATCAGACGGAGCATTTAATGTTTATGATTCTGAAACAAGATGTTCAAAAATAGTTTTAAGGACAAATGATTCAAAGTTTTTTTTCAAAAATCATAAAAAAGAAACTAAAATTATGTTTATATAAGTACAATCAGTAACTTTAACCGAAAAGATTTAATGTATCTTTCAACGTTTCATAAAAATGTCATATGAAGGATTTCAAAGTTATATAGATTTAAAAGGGTTTTGCAAAAAAGGTGGAATTCAGAATATCATACAATTTTACAATTCCTTAATATTGAAGAATTTTGATATTTGCATCATTTACAACCAAAATATACCCAAAAATATATATCAATCCGGCTCCCATTTTTTTTACCATCTCTCCTTCCTTGAAGGCAATAGGCTTATCCTTCAAAATGCAAAAGTTTTTAATGTTTATTTTAAAAAAAGCCTCTTAAAGAATGAAAATTGTAAAATTGTCGAAAAACATTTTGAAAAGTTTAAAGGACTACAGTGGAACAGTACTTGAAAAAAGTGTAAACATTTGATTTTTTTTTTTAATTAAAGCGTGTAGCAAACATTATACGTATATCAGTTTGTAAGGTATTTTAATATATCTACGTAAATGTCTGAGGATCTTTTTTAATTTTTGAGCCAACGTTTTGCTATCAACAATATTTATTGATTTCTACAATTATTTTGCTGGAATTTATCTTTCGTTGAATTATTATATAAATATTGCATATAATTGAGTAAAACACTAAAAAAAATTAACCCGAAGAAAATCATTGTCAACCGAAACGCAGCCGAGGTTGACAGTGTTTTCGAAGGGTGAAAAATTTCAATGTTACACTCAGCTACATGCAAGATTTATTTTATTATACTGAATGTTTAATGCAAAAACATATAACAGTGAAACTTGTGCGCATAAATTCTTACTTATTTACTTACTTATGCCTGCTACCCATTTGTGGGCATAGGCCGCTGACTAGATTCCTCTAGGTCCCTCTAGTTTGAACAATGCTTTCTACCTTTTTCTAGTTCTTGCCCATTATTTTGACGTCTGCCTCCAAATCTCTCCGCCAGGTGTTCTTTGGCCTACCTCTCCCACGTTTTCCTTAGAGGTTCCAGGATAGGGCTTGCCTTGTGATGTTATTATGGTGCTTGGGTAGGGTATACCCTATCCACCTCCACCTTCTCTGCATTATTTTTTCTTCTATAGAGGATTGGTTTGTTCTTAGCCACAAATTGATGTTGTTGATTTTATGGGCCATCTCAGACAAGAGTTGACGAATGTCTGGATCCTGTTTGTTGTGGTTATCCTCCATGTCTCAGGACCATAGAGGAGCACAGCCTTAACATTGCTGTTAAAAAGCCTACCTTTGGTGTGTATTGTAATTCCCTTGGTATTCAAGATGTTTCCAAGTTGTAGGAATGCTACTCTGGCCTTTTCCATTCTTGCTTTTATGTCCGCTTTCGGCATAAATTCTGCACAGGCAATAACTTTTGGAATATCACCGGTCGTCAAGCAATGTTGAATGTTGCTACGCAGAGGGCGTGGCTTCATCATTCAGTGAGTAATAGTGTTTTTTAACAAATGTTTCTCGACGAATCAGATTTAACTAATCTAAATGAAAGTATAATATTTTCAAACTGTGTTTACTACTATCATATTTTCCTTATTTTAATTTTAGGTTTTTGGTTGACTCGTTTGGTATTCTGATATCAAACTTCGTGATTTATCATTTAATTTATTGAGTGATATTAACGTCATTAATATTCAATGTACAAACGTTTAAGTAAAATGATCTGTTTAGACAAGTTTAATTAAATAATAATAATATTGCATGCTGTTAACAACCTTGTTTGAAGTGAGATTTCTTAAATTCTATGGTCGTAATTAATACCTTGTCAGAAATATAGAGTGGGTTATATTTTGGCTAACGTGTTTCACACCAATTCTTCGGCCTTTGTTTTTAAACTAATGTGACTACAGAAAATTTCATCTTCCTGATCAATACACAGGGCTCACGGCGGTTGTGACCAGTCGAGAAGGAATGCTTACTCCTCCAAAGCACGTGAACCCACCTCTGAAATTTTAGAGACCTGTGTTCGATGTCCTGTTCACAGATTTGTATTTGTGGGTTTGTTTTTCTTTTTAGATCGATTACGTTTTGTTATCTTCACCTTTTCATGATGCAAATGGTTATTTCACTTATTAATGTTCATGCAAAAATAAACAAATAAAAAAGAGAAATGTCCTATCGCATTGATTGTATATTTCATCAATTGATATAAACATAATTTTAATACAATAAAAGTATATTACATCATTGTATTATGATTCTTTCTCTCATTTTTTTTTCCTCATTTAGACTGCTGGTGAGTTTGTTATAGTTAACTCTAAAGAAGGGAGAAAAATATTTTTACATATGCAGTCCCTGGATAGAAAATATAAAAAATCAATTCAAATTCTAAAAAAAAAAGAAACACATTTCACAGACTACAATAAAAAGATTATTTGCATTTTTTATTTCTCATTATATACATTGTAGCCTACTCTTAAAACAATTTATTTACTTCTCAAGTGTTAACAACAGTACTTTGGTTTAATAATTTGAAAAAGCAAAGAAGCAATAATAATTTCTTAAACTTATAATAATGTTATGATTTGTTTATTAAAATATTTTGATAAATTCAATTTTATCCTCCTTCATTTAGAATCGGGTAGAGAAGAAATAAATACTATCACTAAAAATAGTGTTAACAAACTTTATAAAATCAAGCTTCATTTAATGTAAGACAACAAATAAATTTTATTTCTAACTTAAAATCTCAAGCTAAAGCAAAATCGGGTGTTTATTTTTACTTAACAGGATCGACAAGATAATAAAAAGTAAACAAAATGCCAAAAATGAATTGACAGTGACAAAATAATAAAATTATCGCATTAACGAAAAACGCCAAATATGATAATATCTATACAAAAATGCAAAATAACTCTCAAATCAATGAAAAACTCTGGGCCTACAATTGTACAGACGATATCACTCACGTGTTGAAAACACGAGTCACAGAGAAAAATTGAACACTTGCAAGGAAAACATATAACACACATGTAACGAGGAACAAGTAAACAGGAAATAACCATGTTGACACTACGAAATCAGGGCTAGGACTGAGTTGTAAGCACTCGTGACATGTCCAGTGAATATTGGAAGACCAGTGTCAGAGTACATGTGCATAGAGTTGTAGTTGAGAGAATATAATAACATGTGAAACCTAATTTTACTAAAATATGTGCAAGAATAAAAATTCCTCTTGGAAGCCAATTCACCGACCTTATGCTAGCCACTTTCATCTTATACTTTCAGTTTGAATGTCACGTTTATAATGCATGTGAAAGGCATTTAAATACCTAAATCTATTAATATAATATGAAAATGTTATCAGCTCTCCAGGATGTCAGGCACGCACTAAGGGTAAGTGTTTCCTATGTGTCCTTCACAACCAATTAATAACGCAACGAAATTTGTTAAAAAAAGTTATAAAATATTATATCAGTTGTAGATTATGTCTGAAAACTCCGCTACAAATTGGCTGGTCATCGTAGCAATAGATTTTGGAACTGCTTATAGTGGTTATGCCTTCTCCTTTCGTGATACAGAAAAGGAATTTCACAATTCTCAGAACTGGAATTCGGGAACTCCAAATCTCCTATCACAGAAAACTCCCACATGTATTTTATTGAACCCCGACGAAACATTCAATTCCTTTGGATACGAGGCACAGGATATTTACACAACATTGGCATCAGAGGAGCGACATCTGGATTATTTCTATTTCTTAGATTTTAAGATGAAACTTTATCACACAAAGGTTTGTTAAGTTGAAGCTTATTCTATTTTGTTTTTCGGTGTATAGTATAAGTTGTTTGTAAAACTTAAAGTATGTGCTATGGTGAAGTACAATAGAACACACATAAAAGGTCATATGGTATTTGCCCTATATTTTGACTCTCACTAAAAGGATGAATTCCCATGTCTATTGCCATCAACCCATTCAATATGTACAAAGAAAGTGATTATTTTCTAACGAGAGGATTTTGATACAATGTACCTTCTTAATAGTGTCAATATTTTGGATTATTTATAATCATGACGAATGCCAAATTATGATCACTTGAATAAGTCACACACATAGTATTTGTTTTTCAACGACATAAATGCTGTTCTATGAAGCTAGTATTGCTACAAGGATGTGTGTTACATCCTTAAATCACAATTGATTCAGTCACCTCGACACTTAGTAACATAAAATACTTCGACCCTATTAAAAATATGAATTATAAATATCAAAAATCCCCTATAATTAGTTTTTAACACAATTAAACATTCAGTCATATGCATGTTTCTTTGTTTCTTTACACTTCAGCATCGGTAGCTTCTAGTAATATTTTACTAATACTTGATATAATTTACTTCATTCAAAGAAGAAGTAAAGCTAAATGTATCAACAATAAAGATTCATACAATAAAGTATATGAAAAATACTATATTTATTGCAGACATCTCAGTGAGACGTAATCATGTGTATAAAACAAGATTTTCCGAACAGTGTTTTGATGATCTAAAGTCTCTTAAGTACTTTGAACTTAAATTTTAAATTAAAAGTCAAAATTTTTGAGTGAAAATCGCATGTTGTATTTTAGTTCTTTTTATATCAACTGAAAGTTGTACTCTTACTAAAATTTTAAGAATATGAAATAATCAAAATAAGCGGATAGCCTTCATTATGAATACGAGAGTCATTCAATAAGTAATGCAATATACAGTTTATCATAATAACTGTAGCAGTTTTTAATTGTATTTTTGAATAGTTGAAAAAATCTATTAAAGAACTTTTAATCACAGAAAACCCCATGTTTTTTCCTTATTGTCGCAAAGGCATTCAATTTTAAAGTAAGCATGGTCACTACACTGACCTGAAAACTGTTTTTAAATGATCTCTGCCAAGAAGATGAAAATGAGGGCTTATGTGAAAACTGTGCTTCATAGCATAAATAGTTGAATAACCCATATTAAAGATACCATTTTGATTTATGGAAAGACTAGTCTTTCGTGCTGTATATTTTTCAGATGGATTCGGAAATTTGGAATAAAAAAAGTACAATTAAAAGATCGCAGTCAAACTGGTCGAAAATCTGTAGGGGCATCAAGAAATATCGATGCTGTGAGCAACATGATATCTGAATATGCCATATTTCCATTGATAGACTTTGCTTAAACACGATACATTTCATCGTCATAACAGTTTATAGAGTTCTTACAAATGAAATAAATATAACAATAATTCTATCAGATGGATGCCTTTTTTCTTTACAAATGCCTAAGAGAAAAAACACGTTGAATGTGCCGATGGTCAATTTAAAGATAAACATTTTTACAAAAAAGAAGATTTGATATATTGAGTGATGGATGACGAAACGTGAGTGTATACTTTTCATAGCCGAAAAGGAAGATCAAGAATAAAATGTGGAATCAAAGAGAAAGCTATCGTCCTATTATTGCAAAGAGAAGCAAGGGCTCCAAATCTGTTCTATTACTTTTTTTATTATTCAAGAGGCCCAGTCAAATATACATAAGCCAAAGGAAGGACTATCAATGGTAACTTTTATGTTAAAATTTTACCAAGGAAAGTTAAGCAGATTTCCTGCAAAGCAAACCCAAATACTGATCCCGAGTATTTTTTCTGCACCTGAAACGCTGCTGCAAATAAACATAGAGAATAAATAAAATTTAGAAGAGAGGAAAATTTACAGAGCTTGGGAATCCCCCATATTAGCTAGATCTCAGCCATTGTGAGATCTTTTTCTTCCAAAAACATATGAAAGCAATCAATGGAAGATTTTATAATTTTAGGTGTATCATAGAAAGTGCTATTCAGCAGTGTCTTTAGTGCATCCCTAAAGATTAGTATGTGTAAATTTTAACAGAGAATGTTTTGAGGGACTGAAAGTATTAAGAATCTGTTTTACATGTTTTCCTATTTTAGATAACCTTTTGCATTATTTATTGAACGACCCTCGTAAGTAGCTTTGCCTGCAATTATCGTTAAAATGAAGCAAAATGTCTTTGTTTAGATTTCATAACCACCTTCAATCATAAGCTGGTTGTCATTTTTTACGTTATTTAGAAGTTTGCATGTAAATTTTGGTGTTGGTTAAAAGTGGTTGTAGGAGTTGCCAAAAGCATCCAATCTCTTGAATTTTCAAATTGCCCTAATGCTAATACGAACAGACAGTGCGTTACTTTGTGACACTATATAATTACAATTTCTATAGATTCATTAACCAAACAACATTTATCACTAATTATAAATATGATTATAAGTCTGATAATTCATGCATTTATTAAGAGAAAAAATATTACTTGGAATTTTTAAGTAATTGTAGGCCGCAAAACATTTTTCAGTGTACTAAAACTTGAGTTGCTCAGGTAGAGCGTACAAACTGATCTCTTATGCTGAAAGATACGTTATTTTCTTGTGGGTTAAATTTTCGGTGTTTTCGAGGTATGTGCACACCCACGAATTCATATGCACCACGAAATGTAAATTTCATATCCATCACTATTCAACTCTTCCCAACCACGAAATCAACTACAACCTTCAACATAACCACCACCCCCACCCAACCCCTACCCCCGAACCAATATTTTTTCCCTCAAATTTCGAAAATTTGACTCCACAAAAATATGATTTTACACTGATATAAGAAAACTAAAGAAAATCTTAGTGTGAGACCCTTTTATATATTATTATATCTTTATAAGCAAAATAATAATTTTTAAATATATTTATTTGTTTGCTTTCTATTTATATGAAATTCAAATTAAACGTACTTTTTACTTGATAACACAATATGCAAAACACATGCCTCTTTACAGATTTATACCCCTTGCCATCCCAGACTTTTTATTAAATATTGTTAAACAAGGAACACATTGTTAAAATATTTTTTTAATCATACAGGTTGAAAAAAAAAGATTTATATACTGGTAAGCTGAACTGACATCGTAAAAAGAACATAATCACTCTTTTGGGCGTCATAATGTCATTTTCCTCTCGAAATGGTGTATACTTAAAATACTGACCAAAAATCACATTGATAACTACTATGAAAAAATAGTTCGGCCACTGATACGAAATTAAAATCAATGAAAACTGTACAGAAAAAAATGAACAGAACAATCTCTCTATTGAAATCCATTGATTCAAAATTAGGAAAGTAAAGAAAATTGAATTATATCAAAATAAATGTTGATTAAGGGGAAAAATTGTTGTTCTACTATTTTTTTTTTCAGAATTTGAACAGAAAAACAATGTTAAGCGACATCAACGGAAAACAGCTCCCTGCAATTAAAGTATTTTCTTTGTCAATCAAGTTCTTTACGGATCACTTCATGAACATTCTTAACAAACGTTTGCCTGACGCTAAGGAAAAAAGATGTGAAATTTGTTCTAACTGTTCCAGCGATTTGGACAGATGCAGCAAAATTGTTTATGCGTGAGGCAGCCAAAGAAGTATTTATTTAAGTGAATATATAGATTTAGAAAATATTTCTAAATTAATCTTGAATACTCTTATTCTCTACTCTCCCATTCTTTTTTGCTATTTTATTCAGATTTAATGCTACAATTAAAGACTCAACCCATCTCTTGTTTGTTTGTAATGTTTTGCCCATCGTAAGGCATTAAACTTTTAATAATTTTGACATCATTTTCTTTTAAACCAAGTTCTTCAAGTTATCATGGTTAACTATATGCATGTACTTTGATACGCTTATTTACAAAGACACATTAAAAACTTTACTGAGGAACTTTCATTTAAAATAAGTCTTCCTTCCAGAATTTTTATGCCCCTGTAATCGAAGATTCGGGGGCATATAGTTTTTGCCCCGTCCGTCCGTCTGTCTGTTTGTCCACAAAAACTTTAACATTGCCCATAACTTTTGATTGGTTGGAGATGGCTTTCATATTTAACATGTGTACTCTTTGTGACAAGACTTACCTTTGGGTACCAACATATTTGACCTCTTGACCTTGGATTTTGACCCACTTTTGCAAAAAAAAAATTACCCAACTTTATCTTTAGCTATAACTTTCGAATATTTTGGTGCTAAGGCTTTCATATTTCACATGTATATTCAACGTGACAAGATCTTTCCAGGAGTGTAAATATTTTTTAACTACCTTAACCTTAGAGTTTTACCCATTTAAAAAAAAACTTTAACCTTGGCCCTAACTTTTAAATAGTACTAGGGCTTTCAACTTTCAAATGTGTATTCCTTGTGAGACCTTCCTTGGACTACCAACAATTTTGACCTTTTGACCTTGAATTTGGAGTTTGACCTACTTTGAAAAAAATTTAACTTTTGCCCTAAATTTTATTAAGTTGGTGCTAGGACTTTTATATTTTGTGTGGTTACTTCTTATTACGAGGTCTTTACCTGCGTACCATTGATTTTGATCTTGCCCTTTGAGTTTGACCCACTTTCAGAAAACATTACACATGATGATAACTTTTGAATGGTTGGTGCTTGGGTCTTCATATTTACCATACCAGGTGTATCCATTGACACAAGTCCTTTCTTTTGGTAACATCATTTCTTATCTCTTGACCTTGACCTTGGAATTTGATTTGCATTTGAGAAACTTTAACCTTAAGCTGCCATACGGGGGAATCAGTGATTCAAAATCTTTTTTTTTTTTAATGTTTAGCATGAATACTTCTCGAAATACATACCAAAACGACAATTTTCAAATTAACAGGAGAATAAACAAGTAATAATTCTAATTAATACCAAAAATATCACTGGAGACTGAGATAATGCATATAAAACATAACAATTTGACTTTCATAGATAAAATATTTTATTATACTATAGTAAACACTACAATTTATTATTATAATTAAAACTTTGAAACTTTGATTAATAATAGTAATTATATTGATAGTTTACTGTAGTATTATTTGTTAAGACGGTATTTATTTATGTTTGATTATAACATAACTTATCTAATTTTATGAGATTCAATTAGCTGTCAGTCTGCTACTTAAAAAGATATGCCAAGACGTTTTCGAATGGAAGAAGGTTTTGTTGTGGATGTACCATTTGTAAATACGAAGTAGTTTTAAAATGGGAGGCAATTTTACAAAAATAAGACAAATATACTCTAGGCTGTAGTTGCTGAGCCTACATATGGTATTGTCCTAAATAAAAAGTAAATTGTAATCTTCATTTGCTAATATGTACAATGTTCCTCACCTTAGGGTTATGTTACTGAATCATTTTTGATTTCAATTTTAGGCAGGCATTGCATCTGATCGTTTACTTCTTGCTCTTGAACCAGAGTGTGCATCAATATACTGCAAAGATATTTCTCCAGATAAACTGTCACGTGGGATATGTCTCAAAGCTACTGAGAAAAGAACGCAATATGTCGTTGCTGATATAGGAGGTAAGGTTTCATTTTAACATTAATGCAAGTTATAATTAGTGCCATAAATGTTTATTTTGTATGGCGTATTACAGGGTATATTTAAAATGATTTTTTAAGTTTGCACTTATCATGTTTATGTTATCTAATTTGATTATTTTTTTTGATTAGTTTAATGTAGATTTCGAATACTTCCTAGTATTCATTCCATTCATAAAACAATAGTGTCAGTCGTTCAATACAGCTTAGTCAACTCCTTCAAGGTTTATTCGATGGTAATTCGCTTATACAATGGAAAAAATGTTGGAGACAATAAAATGTGTAAGGACAAAAATCTTAAAACTGTACACGTCGCGTATAAGGAAGAAAATATCAAATGTATGCAACCATACCACGTTATGAGAAAAAGTATCATCAATTGCACAGGTAATTGCATTACGAGCAGAAAAAAATGCACGAAAAACAGCGAAACATAATGTTAATAACATTACGACAAGCTAAGAAATCCATCTTGTCGGCAAAGAGCTCAAGGTGTGCAATCAGGTTGAACGAATGATAAGAGTATTTATACCTTAGTGCTGATATCAGAGATAGGAAAATTAGTATGGCATATGGGCTATTTATGAGTCGTGCTAAGCTTAAAATAAAATGTAAATGATATTTATTAGGAACCACCGTTAGCAAATATTGGAAATCATACTCAAACGCTTTTATCAAAAGATTTTTTTTTTCGAGTAACGATTATTCAAGGATTTGCAAGACTCTCTATGTACAATAGAAACATTATCAATGATACATTTTTTTATGAATACAGGAGGAACAGCAGATTTTAGTGTTCATGAACTGGACATTGATGGATCCATTACAGAACTTCACAAAGCTAGCGGTGAAGCTTATGGGGGTACTTGTGTTGACAAGAAATACATTGAAATAACAGAATCCATTTACGGAGTGAAATCATTTGAGAGACTAAGGAACGAAGAAATGGAGGATTATCTGCAATTTTTAAGAGATTTTGAGTTTAAAAAAAGAACTGTAACCACACATTTAACGAAGAAATATAACATTCGTATTCCATTATCACTAAATGATTTTGCAAAAGAGTACAAAGTAGATTTACATAGAACAGAACGACTACCTATTAAAGGTGAAGTCGAAGTAATGCGAGATAAGATAAAAGTAAATGGGCAGTTTATGTTACAACTTTTTGAAGATTCTATAAATGAAATAGCAAACCACCTTCAAAACCTGTTGAAGGATTATCCTGATATTTCATGCATAATATTGGTAGGTGGGTATTCAGAATGCAGTATTCTGCAAGAAAAAATACTGTTAATGTTTTCAGATAGGAATGTATTAATTCCTACTGAATGCAGTCTTGCAGTACTGAAAGGAGGTGTTCTTTACGGTCACAATCCATCCATTGTATCTTCGCGTGTGTTAAGATACACTTATGGTACAAATACGGACCTCAAATTCGATAAAGGAAAACACGATGAAAAGAGAAAATATACCGATCAGTTTGGCACGGTTTTATGCCGAGGAACATTCGACTCGATTATTTCGGCTGGCACCAAAGTACCTGCAACAGGAAAGAAATTTACAATAACAAGTGTGCCACTAGATACCCATCAATCTTTTATTGCTACTGAAATTTACTTCTCGGAAAAAAGCGATGTGCTTTATATCGATGAGGAAGATTGTAGATATTTAGGTAAAGTTGAAATTCCGTTGCCTTTCCTTGGGTTTAAACCTACTCTGGAGGAAGAGTTTACATTTGGTATGACAGAATTAGTTTATACTGCAACTGTCAAAGAAACTCAAGAAACTGTAGTCAAACATTTCAATGCCTTATAGTATGTTGATACTTCCATTATGCATATGTCAACTAAATTTAAAATATATTGTACATTGTTAAGGTTTTAGCAAACGTTTTAATCACACTATACTATCCAGGAGCATTATTTAAAATGATTAAAGAAACAGAGGAATCAATTAAAGTGATAAAGTGAAACACTTAATCAAGAAGTGTTATCCTTCCAATTCGCACAGATTTCTATAACTGGCAATCAACCATTAGCTATTGATCTATGAAATAATGAAGAAAATACAGTATATGCATTGTGAGAAGTACTAGTTAAATCAGCCGATATTGAAATTACATGCATTAAGATATACAAGCAAGGGATGATTTTATTTTATGTAAAATGAGCTCTTTGGCATAGAAATAAATAGAAGAATATAGAAATCTTGTTCTGTTATTTTTCCTTTTCGACTCTGTTATTGTTGCCTTTTTTGTTCGTAGAATTAAGTAATAGAAATGCCATTGCATGATTGTCAAATGAAGTTACATGAATGTCATTGCCTGTTCAAATATAGAGACTAGATTTTAAAAGAAAAACAAAATTTTAATGATGATTTTAGGGAAATTGCAAAGGTTTATGTTTGTACATTTACATTCCAATCAAAATTTGTTACGTTTATATATGTGTACTGTAATGACAAGGTAAAAATAACAAACAGTGATCAATCTCATAAAAATATTTAAACAATACAAATTTGTGAACATGGCATAAAACAGGGACTCCCCCCCCCCCCCTGTAAATTTCAGAGGAGGTATCGGATACCTAGGAGGAGTAAGCATCCCCTGTTGACCGGTCACACCCGCCGTGAACCTTATGTATTGATCAGGTAGACGAAAACTCTTATTGTTTCAAGGAAACTGGAAATACCTTCAACGTTTCATTCAATAGAGTTAATGACCTCAAAATTATGCTGCTGGAATGCATGAAATATATATTATTATCCCCAAAAAAGTTTAAACATAGAGTTTGCAGCGATTTTTATACAGCGGTGTACTAGTACATTTGTATTTGATATATCAGTCTAGGAAAGCACATGAACTATAAGGTATATTTCAACCAATGGAATGGAAATCTTGCATTACCTTATTATGTGAACATGATTTTTAATGTTGCACCCATGCCCCCACCCCCCCCCCCACCCCCACCCACCCCACCCAAAGATTACTGCATTTAAGCAAATTCTGCTCAATACGTTTATTACATGTTTTATACTCTGACTGTTACTGTACTAAAATATTCAACTGATAAAATATGGCTATGAACAGCTATTCAAGTGGCATCAAGCAGACAAATTTTATAAACTTACGAATTAGATATAGAGGCTGCTCAACAATGAAAGATACGCAAATATTATTTCTGCTTTTCATCGAATTCGGAACAATAAAAATATTCCTAAATATAAGATGTTTAAGGTAAAATGATTCAAGTTGTAGTTTTCGTTTTTTTTAATATTTGTCAACCTCCCCAAGGACAGGAATGATTTAAGCGAAGATGTTTTTTCTAAAACCTTTCAAAATTTTTTTTTCTTCAACAAAGCATCACGAAAGAATATATGAACTAAATAACCGGCCTTTAACGTTACAAAAATCAATTGTTGTTCTGTCACATTTTGTACGTTTCATGGAATTACAGCTTATGCAAAAAAAAAGAATTAACATTGATATTTAAGACATGAAATCCGTTATATTAACTTGATAGTTTATGTACTCTCTAATGTTTTTCTTGCAATTTTTTTTTTGTTTTATAAAATATTATTGCACCGCTACAAGAGAATCTTATTGAAAAAGTATCAAATGTATAATTACTGTGCTGGAGAAATTTTAACAAGTTGGGTAGGTAGTAAACTGTATTTAAACTAACTAGTCCTCCCTGAATTCTAAACTCATTTTAAAAAGTCCTAGAAAAACCTGCTTTTTAAATTGTTAAGATTGTTTTTATCAATTGTATTGAAGGAAAATGATGATTCTGAAGATTAACTGAGAGAATGAAATGTACGTTTCATTTCAAAATTATCTTGATCTATGAATATTTAATGTACAGCACATTCAATATGAATCTACAAACATTAACCCCAGAAAATCTGATCTTTTAAGATTTGTATATGTGACGATATATACTATGCGTATTTATGACAAAATCGAATACGTACTAATAGGACAGATTTTTTAAAAAGTAACTCTACCCAACTCTTCATGAGTAGCAAAAACAAAAACAAAACAAAATCCAACTAAAAAAAAACACAACGGACAATGAATTTACAATTAAACAAAATAGGTTCGCATGTTTTTGTTGAATGTCTCATTCGAATGACCATTAAAACACAAATGAAGTTATTTTACATTGGTATTTAAAAGCATATAAAGTATTGTGGCGAAATTGAAGTTCGTAGTTCGAGGTCATTTTTACAAAAACTGTGAAATTGGGAAGGCTAGGGGCTAAGTCATTGATTAATTACTAGTCATTTGCAAAAGAAAAGAGGGTAAACCTTTCCCGGTTCCAATGCCTAAGAGGAAGAAATACAGTCCAGTCCCTGGAATAAATTGGCTTTTTTTCTTACTGAAATGTGGAGAAACAGTAGTGGTCGGTATATCTATACACAATCCAGCCCTGAATTTATTAAAATGCATCTAGGTCTTAATGTTGGGTCTTGAGTTATCTTATTTATAATATGCGATCGATATATACTGGGCTGCACATGTACAACTAGTAGAATGGACGCGTCCAGCTACATGTATGTTCATCATGTCTAGTCATAGCAAATATTAGAAATACAGCATTCACAATCATTACGCTTTGAATATATCGCTTTTTTAGTTTGTTAATTTTGTTTGTTTAGTTTGTTAATTTTCAACAGATTATCCAATTCTGTACATAACACACGGATTAAAGTTTGAATTGTTAGCTGTGTTGTTGGAAACTGGGCAACCACTCTCAGATTTTCGGTTTCTAGGATGTGGAATTTATCTGATTGAGTTTCTTGATCTTTATTGAAATCTTAGCCCTATGACGTGTATCTATTTTACACTCTTCCAGGGTGTTGTCCAGGTCCAATCCTCTCCTAATTTTCCCAGTGCTTTAAACATACTCAGATACAACTCAGAAAAAAAGCAGTTGGCAAAATTAGAATCGTAAAAACGTATTCTCATACTTCTTTGATGATATTGACATTTAATTTTTTTTTCTCCCCGTTTTTGGAAATAAAAGCACAAGATAAAAAGCCAGGTTTCCCGACTTGGAATTCTAATGAAAATGAAAAAGATGAAGATAACGAACAGTAATTGATCTAAAAATAATTGTGAACAGGGCATTAAACACAGACCCCCGGAAATTCCAGAGGTGTGATAAGATTCCCAGGAAACGTATGCATCCCCTGTTGACCGGTCACACCCGCTGTAAGCCCTATGTTTTGACCAAGCAGACATAACACATTGTATTCAAATTTATCATAAAAACAAAGGTCTATCAACAATATTTGTTAAAACCTATGGTAATCGTGACATCATTAGTTTCCATATAGTTTCCTTTTATGGAAACCACTTTATGGTTTCCACATCACATAGATTCCCGACTAGGAATCAATAGACCTGGTATTTCCCAAAAGTGAAATACTGTAATTTGTTTATTATTTACTGAATAAAAGTATTTTTCTGTCACAGTTTGAAAGGATACCAAAGTGATATTCTGTCGCAGTGTGAAAGAATATCAAAAATTCTGCAGAACTCTCGATTTTCCTTCCCTTCAAAAGAACTTTTAAAAAATTTCCTGGCCTTTATAAGATAAATGGAGTAAATAAATTATGTTGAAATCCATGTTTACAATGTTTTCAGATTTCACAATCGCTAAGCTTTGACGTCTCAAACGTTCAAATATGACGTCACATCCTAAAACACGGTGTAATTAAAAGACCGAGGCAAAGTAAAAATTAAAGAAAAGGTATTAAACAGAAAATTCAATATTTTGTGGTTGGATATGGAATTTATTGCATATCCAACGACAAAACGTTGCATATCTCTATAACTTTGTGTTTCAGGAAATCTGTGTCAAACTACTTAAAAATAAAGGAACAAATAATCTTTTCATTCAACTCGAGACACAGTGTTGTTTACAATATTTGACCTTCATATGATATTTCACTCATACTTTTTAGAGAAAATCGTTGTCAACCATTGAATAAAATAACGAACAATTTTTTAAATACTATTTTAATAAAATAAAAACACACAAATGATTTTTTCAAATATATAAATAAGTGAAAGAGAAAAAATAAAATACATCATTCTTTTCATATTCTTTGGATAACACAGTCAGTTTCAGTAAGTGCATGTAAAATTTACTCGTACATAATTCACAACAAATACAAACTTTCTATGCAAGGGTAAGATCTATTATTTGAAAATTAGCGTAGTATCCTATAAGGGATTTTCATTGTTTAACGTACAATGTAAATTATTTTTACAAGAACGGAATGACAAAAACCATTGAAGAGAATAAAGCAAGCTGAACTATTATGCTATGCAGGTTTTAAAGAGTAGTTCCTTACATACCATAACAGTTAAATATTTATCTACAAATATACTTGTTCATATTATGAAACTTGATTAACTACCAGTTTGTACAGGATTTGGAAGGTACATGCATGTCCCTCACCTGAGCGATTGGCTAGGGAAAAGCACAAATCAGTTTAGTATTGAAAAGTTTATGGGGGGGGGGGGAGACTTCAATTTTACACTACCTGAGAATGCCTCCATATCAATAAAGGAAATGGCTTTGCTGTTCTTGAGAAGATTAAAAAAAATCTTATATATTCCTTTGTAAAAAACTAATCCCCCATTGTGGGGGGTCATGATTTATACAAACTTGAATCTACATACATGAGGATGCTACCATATCAATATGACTAAACATAGATTTTCTGTTCTTGTGAAAAAGTTTATTCCTATATATTCCTATGTAAAACTTTGAACCCCCATTGTCATAATTGTGGCCCCATCCTACCCCCGGGGGTCATCATTTAAAAAAAAATTGAATCTACATTACCTGAGGATGCTTCCATATCAATATCACTTATCATGGCATTGCTATTCTTGAGAAGATGATTTTTTTAAAGATTTTTTTTCCTTATATATATTCCTATGTAAAATTTTGATTCTCCATTGAGGCCCCACCCTACCCTTAGGGGTCATCATTTGAAAAAACTTGAATCTATACTACCTGAGGATGTCAGACGATGGAAAAAATGTGATCAGAAAAGCTCACTTGCTCTTTCAGCTCAGGTGAGCTAAAAATAGTGTGACTTTTTTGTCTACCAACGTGACGGATGTAATATTTTAAAGAAGTTTCTCATGAATCCAGTAATTAATAAATTGAGCTTTAAGGAGGCATTGCTTATTATGTATATTTTAGTAAACACCTATTTTTCTAAATAGCTTTTGATTATGATCATTTATCGTCATTTAATAAATTAAACAGTATGTATTTTAAAGAAGACATTCTTTGTTACTAGACATTTGGTGTTTTAAAATGTTACTTAAGGGCAGGCCCATAACAGCCGAGGAGAATAAACAAGCAAAGTTTTTTTGCAATGTATTTTCTAAAACAAATGATTATAATTCATTACAGGTAAAATTCATCTACAAGTACTCATACATTTATACATTATGAAAAGTAGTATTAATGCCAGTGGAAGCATCGTGATCAGGTCTATAAAATATGAAAGGTATGATACTATTTTGGATACCATGATTCTACTAAGAATTGAATCTCTATAGAGGTATTCCCTTTTGTCCCAAAATGAAACGGTCATTTTATGTGATGTATAAACTTTAATTCGCAAGACAGGACGAGAGTGCAAAAGAGAACGTGGGAAAGGAAAGTAATATTTATGGAAGTTTATATCGATACTTGCTGTTTTTGTTTCTTTGTCTATCAAAAGAGCACAATGAAAAATACCATTAAGATTAAAACCGGTTATTTCAGGATCAGTTACATTCTTGTCCATAGATAAACACTTAGAGAAGTAGCCATAAAATAGTACAAAATATAGCTCAACATGCAGGTATCATCAGACAAAAATAACACTTCTTCTGAGTTAGTTGTACTCCCAAAATATATATCAAACCAATGCTCTGCAGTAAGAAAATATGGTGAAATTGAAATAGTGAATGTTATTACACATTTCCTTTCGCAATCGTGAATTTCTATATCCTGCATGAAATTTGAGCTCACAACATCAACTTCGTTTGGACTGAAGTAATTACGCGCAGTTTTATTGTTGTTGGATAAATACACATTGGAAAACATTGACTGTGCATTAAATGCTATTCTGTCAGAGAGGGATTTTACTGATATCCTAGCAAAGGACTTTTCACAGAACTGGAAGTACACGAATAGAGTCGGGTATTTTTCATGTATATGATATGTATCCAAAATTTCTTTATTTTCTCTATTAGCTATTTTTATGATTCTTCTTCTATTATCTTTCAGAATTCGATATTTCATCACAATTTTTGACTGTGATGTAGCACTTATGCTAGCAATTTTCTCATTTAAAGTATTAAAGAGTTCTAAACTTTCTTTACTTTTTGATCGAATTAAGTTCCATTCAAATTTCTCTGTAGTTTCGTTAATATAAATTGAACCTAGTGAAAACCCTATCCTGAAAAGAGATGTCCCTCTGATTTCTTCAGCAAAATCTGTTAAATGAATCTGAAAATCCATAACAGCATACCAATCCGAAAAATTAAAAGTTTCATTTAGAAAAACACCATTTTCCACAAAGGGGTTACTTGGATTTCCACAGGTCTGTTCGGTGTGCTCTAATAATAAACTGGATGCAACTCTTCCACCTTTAGCTCGACAAAATGAGGAATGGCTTGAGTTATCGGAAAACGTCAGAACAGCTTCTAAAACATACAAACACAAAATTAATCAAATCAGATGGTACATCTATATAATTAAATGATACATGCATATGGAGTTTTTGGAAACCGATACCTATTTCACGTTTATTAGTCCCCTACCGATGAAACCGGAGGGGACTATAGGTTTCCTCTGAGTCTGTCCGTCGTCTGTCTGTCTGTTTAGCTGTCTGTCAGTCTGTCCCACTTGGTTTTCCGCATTTTTTTCCTAAACGCTTGCAGATATTGAGCTGATTTTTGGTATGTGAGTGTATCTTGATGAGTTACAGATCAAGTTTGCATTTCGTTCCGCTTCATTGATTTTTGACGGAATTACGGCCTTTTCAACTTTTAAGGGTTTTCCGCAATTTTCTTCTAAACGATTTCAGATATTGAGCTTTCCCTCCCTGTGGGTATGTATGTGTGTGTTTTTCAATTTCTCTTTCCTTTCCAAAGTAAATATTCGTCAAAACAAAATACTGACGACAATATATGCCGACCTTGACTGTACATATTGTCGCCGACGACAATATGTGCTGGAGCTTGACTTTGTCGTCCATTATGCAGGAGGAAGATAAGGCTCATCTCGGTACATATTTTCGCCTTCGACAATATGTACCGATGGACGACAATATGTGTAAGGAGGGTAGGTAAATATTGTCGCCTACGACAATATGTACCGTCCCAGAGACCTTAAAAACCGAGGCCTAATGTCACGGTCAGCGTTGGCATGATAAAGAACCCTCACAACTCAATGGCCCTGAGTACCGAGTATAGGTCCAGATTTGAAGCAGATTTGGTGACGTCTCTATAAAAGTGAAAAATTATCGAATGGGATGTAAAACAACAACAATCAATCAATACACAACTCGCTGTATTTATACTGGTGAATGAAATAACATCTGAAAAAAAGTAGTAAACTAAAATGACGGGGTATTTTTCATTGGTGAAGAAGTAATATTGCTTTTCTCAAATAACTTATCTAAAATTTACTTGAAAAAGTTAGCATGTTTTAAGCTAATATGCACCTGTAGTTTTTGAATTCCATTTTATTATTTTAAAGGACAGAATTAATCAAATTTGAATTAAGAGCTTTATTTCATACTCGAATAGTAATAAATACTCCACATTAACTTTATTCATATTAAAAGATAAGCGTTTTTTTATCTGGTATTAAAATTTAAATATTCTTACCATCACATTGTTTAACTTCACAATATGATAGACTCCACCATATGTCGAACTCTCTAATGGTGAACAATATCGCCGCAATACATGTCAGTGATATAAGGAAAACACAAGTACATTTAATAAGGAATGATATTACTTCTACAATAAAAATAGAAAAGAATGCAATTGATTTTTAACTTCAAATACTATATAAATTATTTTTATTTCAAGGAAAACAGAGTATTGAAACAAAGCTGCAAAAACAGAAAAAAAAACCATTAATTTTTGACCCTAAAAATTATTTATTTACCAATTTCCTAATGAATTTCATTACATACTTTCACGTTTCCTTGGCATCTTTTTTAATCTCACAACAGGGACTCCTACAATATTTGAGTCGAGTTACATCAAAAGCCATATCAAGGAAAAGACAGTGAGCAAAAAAAATATTTCACTTATGTAATAAATAATTCTACAAATGTTATATAATCTGGTGTGAGAACAAATTATCTGATTATAAACAGGAATATTCTATAAACTAAAGAAAGTTCTAAAATAAAAAAATGTTACAGAATTTTCATATTTACGTCTGTTCCAAAAAAAAAAATTTCAGCTGTTATAAAATCTTATGTTATGAAATAACTTTATAATTTGTATTTTTTACTTTCTTCTTTGAATTTTTCAGGTCATTCATTTTATATAAAATATTACTCTTTTATATCAATTTCTTTTAAATTGTTTTATTTGTATTACCTCTGTCGTTCTCTCCTGCTGGTGTTATTTCAAACAAGGAATGTTCGTCCATCTCTAAATATGGATCTTTCATTTTTTCAATTCTTTTTTTCAGCATGCTGCATTCATCTTTAAGCAATAAGAGGTCAATGTCAATATCTGATTTTTCTTCAGGAAAAGATCCCTTTCCAAAATTTTCCAACTTCTCTGATATTGTCTTTTCCAGGGACAAAAAGGACAATTTGCTTTCCTTAAGTAGTTCTTCTGATATAGAGCAACATGCCTGTGCGTTTTGAATAAAGTTCTTTAAGAATGACTTCTTTTTTTCGAATTTATCGGTGTAGACTTTGATAATTTGTGTGCTTCTTTGGCACAGATCTTCAACTTCCTGATTTAGATAATCAATCCCACTCTGTTTTTCATTTTGAATTGTCTCTTTTCCCATACGATCATTTTGCATGATTTTCTCATTTTCCTTCTTGATATATGATAAGACGCCTTTTGCTGTTTCAATCTTCTTCTTAGCTAAGGATAACCGAGCAAGAAGGGTTTCTTTCTCTTTGTTATAAAATAAATCTATTTCTTCCCAGTCATGATTTTTGTGACCTTTCGTTGTACAATTGGCGCAAATTGGTTTACGACAGTCATTGTTTTTACAATAAAATTTCAATGCATTTTTTTCATGAAATGGTAGATTGCATATATTTTCTGCATGCTTTTCTAGAGAGTCGAGAGATGAATCAGAGGATTCATTACTTTCTTTATAGACGTCTTTCATTTGGTGATTCTTGCAATCATTTAATTTACGAACCTTGAAACAGCCTTTGCAGACTTGTATATTGCATGATGTACATTCAAATCTTGCACTTTCTAACCTTTTGCAAATATGACAGGATGTTGCTGCAATTCTATTTATGATTTCCCTTAAACTTCGCTTTGTGATATCTTTTGGAAAATAGTCAATTCCCTTTTCTTTTAATTTATAACTTCGTTTACACATGGAACATATAAGTTTACCACCTTTAATGCCTTTTTTGAGACATTCAGTACAGAAAGAATGCTGACATGGAAGGAGCCGTGGTACATGCTTTTCTTCATCATATTCCTCAGTACAGATAGGACATTCACAGAACTCATCCTTAAGGTCACACAGTATTTTTCCACCTGTAGCCATATGCATTGATTAAGGAATCTAAAGATAAATGATAATGGGATAATTTATGATAATGCTTTGAAAGATATAAATGAATAAGTTATCTAACGTGTGGATTTTTTGTGGTGGTTGTTGTTGTTTTTTTTATTTTTTTCATTATTTTATTTTATTTCAGTCGACATCAACATTCATTTTTCATATACCTAATCCATATGAACAATGAAATGAAGATCAAATAAGTACTTCTTATCGTCAATCATGAAACTATGCGGCTTTTCTTTAATTACAAAGCCCCCAAAAAATCAATAAATTAATATCCGTAGTAAAAGTTATACAATTATAGCCTTTTGTTGAGGTCAGTCCCTAGATATAAAGACCTTAGAGAAAGCATATCGACCGAGCACGAAGTGCGAAGTCTATATGCTTTCACTAAGGTCTATATATCTAGGGATTGTACCGAATCAAAAGGCTACAATTCTTTTATTATTTTTTAGTTAATAAGAAATGTCTTAAAATATATGTTTGTTATACTCAATACTTTCTCATGTAAGGCATTGTTATGCTATTCGCATTTTGACGTCACAGTAATAAATAGCAGCTGCAGTATCTGTTTTTAGAAACATCCAGTTTATAAAGACTATTGTTGCTTCACAGAAAAAACGTTTCCAATTTCAGAAACAGCAGGTTTATAATTATTTTTAGAAGCTTAAAATAGAAACACCCAGTTTATTAGACTTTTTATTCTTGATCATGTGATCTAATTTGAGTCAATCAGATAGCTGGTAACAATAAAGAAAATTGATAAAGGTAAATATTGGTTGCAGTAGCCTATTGGCAGGGTGCTTGTTTCGGGACTGGGAGGTTTCTGGTTCGATCCTCGTTCCCGGCGCAGTATCAAACCTACAATGTTAAGGACCCTCTCTGCACCTGTGCAAAATGTTTTCTGGACATTTAGAAAAATATATATCATATACATGTGTAAATATTGAGCTTATTGAGCTTTAGTTTTCAATATATGGTAAATGGCATTTACCCTTAGGAAAAATGCTAAAAGACAACTAAGTATCAAAGACTGATTGATTGATTGTCTACTGTTTAATGCCGAGTCGGCAATGTTTCAGCCATATTTTGGCGTAAAGTATCAAAGAAGAGAAATCTATGTTGTTTATTTCACTGAAGAAATGACATGTAACTGAAATGTTTAGTTAGTCTATCTTGGCTTTTAAAATGTTTAAAATGCTTAAATTGATTACAAATTGAATAATACACTGTAAATTTCAATGTATTTGAATTTACATCAAAGGAAAGATCACTCTAGCTACGTAAAATTCCACAGAATCAGAGCTCTTTTGTGTGCAGTGTAGGGGCGGGAGGGGGGTCTTAACATATATGTAGTGACTGTTCATTTGCGAAGCACCCGAGACTGGAATTTGAAAGGTCACTCGGAAGAGTCCTTAAAAAAACGGGGTCCCATGTTATGTAGACGCTGGCAAATGACAACCCCTCACTATATTATACTTAATGACCATGAGTGCAGAGTAAAGGACCAAATTTCATGCCTTACACCAGTATATTGTGACGTCTGATATGAGTGATAAATTCTTGCAAGGAATGTAAAAACAACAAGCAAGCAATCAATTATACCTGGACATGTAGTTAGTATATTAAGAATTATCCTACACATGTTTCATACTTTATTAGATTTCAATCTAAATAATTACGCAGTTTTGTAGATATTTTTTTATCTTGATGCATCAAACCTTTCTTTTTATAGAACACGCCTCACTTTTGTAGTCCCTTAATTTTTCAAAAAGATCGATTTCTCTTTTAGTTGACATGCAATCTCATGAGGAAACTGAAGATATCATTTTCGATACTACGCGACAATTTACGCTTATAACACTCACAGAACTATTTTTGAAAAATCCTACAGCAATCTAAATGTGGGGGCAGCAATATTTGTAGTGAGGGTAGGGAGGCAAATCGTGTCCCCGGCGAAAATATATACAGAAAGTCAATATCTACCGTTACAGGGTCCAATACGCTCGATTGTATAGAAGAGCTAAGTATTTTTTAATGTTCCCTTAAATGCAGGAATTCTCACAGGTGGCTTGGAAATCTTAATGAAACTTTAAATTTTCCGTAATTATAACCACGAAGTGTTGTGCATGCAACATTGAAAATGAAAGCTCTTGAAATAGAAACGGGAGAAGGACAGTTTAGCGTCATTTCCGCTTTTCTTACATTAGCAAGGTTTCTGTAAAACTGCATTTTTAGTAGTTCTTTTGATAAAAGTACATGAACAGAAAGCAGAAAATTTTCATATTTGTTTCAAATATTTAAAGATGAAAATTCATTACGTTACCAAAATTGTGTTTTCAAAAAAAATTATCCATCTTAGTCAAACTATTTAGGAGATTAAGTCTGGGGGAAAATAACTACAAGCACAATCAATTTCCATGCCTAAGAACAGCTCTTACGTATAACATAATTCGGCCGATGCATAGTGTTACTTTTTCTGTTTTTTTAATAATTATTTATGAAATAAGGTTTCTAAAGAAAGAAAGAAATAAACTAGTCCAATCACTTAACAATGAATCTTTAAAGAAATGTTTTGTTAGATTAAGTCGATCTTATTCTATATAAACGTTATAGCCAGAAATAAATTGATTTAGAGTTCTACGTTTTACTTCTTCCTTCAAAGTTGGAAAATTATGTGAGATTCACGGTATATTTACCTTCCCTGCCATCGAGTTATCCAGTGAGGAATAAATGCTATTTTTGCACTGAAGATTCCGTTTACTTAAAGATTGGTGTAAACCTTTTGTTAGTCCTTATCGACCATACTTGACAGCCAATGTATATTTAAATCTTATCAATGACTCTTTGTATTTATGCAGCAATCCAATGAATCACTTCATGTTCTTAAGGACGGTTTATTTGAAAAATAATCGACATTATTGATTGATTACAGCGTTATATTTGCATACTCTCTGCATTGTGGCAACACACTTTGAAAAAATTACGCACTTTGAAAATATTTTTCAAAGTGCGTTAAAACTGGGACAAAATCAACGCACGTTGAAAAAAAAAATCAAAGTGCGTTAAATCTCACAAGATGAAACACTTCCTTTAAGTTTGGCTTAATGGTGGCTTATAGGTCCTTAATGATGGTTTAATGGTTGTCTTTAAGTCACCATTAAGCACCTTTAAGCTACATTTAAGTAATAAATACACCACCATTAAGTTACCATTAAGCCATCTCAAAGTCCTTAATGGATGCTTAAAGGTAGCTTAATGGTGGCTTATAGGTGCTTAATGGTAGCTTCTAGACAATCATTAAGTCACCATTAAGCCACCATTAAGCCAGACTTATAGGTGCTTAATGTCCAAACTCCATTAAGCTACCATTAAACCACCTTTAAGCCACCATTAAGTCACCATTACGCAGTCGATAAAACTGCTTTTACGGGTTAAATATTATTTCTATAATGATTTCTTCACAAAAATTATAAATATCGAGTTTATACATTTGTTAATTCAGAAAAAATAATGTAAAAGAAAGAAAATTTTAAAAGAAATAAATAAATGGAAAAAAAAAAAGAAAGCATTCCCAACAGGTTTGGATCCCACGACCTTTAGATTGGAGAGCGAACGCTTTAACTACTGAGCTATCAAGGCTGTTGAAATTGGAATGAAATATAAAACCTTTATTTTTAACAAAACTTGTTTGGAATGGTTACAGGTACCTGTATATGTATTTTCTTCTGATGTTTATATTTATTAATCAACAATACGAATAATTATTTTAAAAAAGAAATTTTGATACAGTTTTATATTACGTTAATATTTCTTACCCGTGGACCGGAGTTCGGTGTGATGGTGTGAAACAACTTTTTGATTTTAAGTAACTGAATTCCTCGTCCTGTTATTCGCAGATTTATAAGCATGAAAAGATTGAAATTCAACAGATATAACAAATTTTTTTATTAAAAAGGAATATATCATCGAAAGAGAACGATTGGGGAAAAAACAGACTATAGTTCTTATAAATATGCTGCGGATATTTACGATTTTTGACAATCTTTGCGTAACAATTAAGTTATAAAATATTTTTGTAACATATCATCTTCAGTTTTAATTCTTTTTATATCATTATGGGTATCAAAATAATTGTCTTTTTGTGTACAATTATAATTTCTAATTTGTTATATGCTTGCGTAAATTTTAAGTTTTGTAAAAAAAAAAATAAATAGATCATCAGAATCTGTCACTGTACGTTCCCGTGTATAGTTTCCTGTTAATTGACCGGGGACTGGTGGGGACACCTAATTAAGGTCTATTGTCTAACTAGTCGATATACTGTACACTGATTATTTTACCCCGCTTCTCAATGTGTATAAATCTGGTCGGATACCCTGTTTAATCTGATCGGCTGTTCTTCTGAAAATTGATTTTGAAATAACAAACATTGAAGACCGACTATATTTTGATTAGTTCTTACTTCTGCATTATTTTAAATAAATTCTTACTTCTGCATTATTTTAAATAAATTCTTACTTCTGCAGTATTTTAAAAGAAAGGAAAAAATAATGGCACTTAACCACGAATTAATTCAAATTATTCATGAATTAATTCAAAGATTGGCAATATAATCTATACCTATATATTTTTTTATATCTTAAACATTTCTCTACCCAAAGAACAATTAAGAGACTTAGAGATATTCCAGAAGAAAATGACTCTAATCACATTTCCTATGAATTCGGCAGTGGAACGTGGCTCTCCAAACACGAAAGAAAAATATGTGGGTTTTTTTAAATTAATATATATAATGTATTTATGGATAAAAATAATTTTAAAACAAGTATTCAAACAAACTGATTTTAGGGAGCGAAAATTTTAAGGCATTTGGTGAAGCTGTTCTCAGTTCCCGAGTTTATACGCATTGACAAAGATGTTAGAAATAGCGAGAAAAAATTATGAACTGAATAAGTATTTGCGTAAATGATACTGAAACA